TATGCACAGGGAGACAGCTCAGGGGGCAGGAATGAATGGAGGGATGGACACAGGGAAGAGGTAACTATTGGGAAGAAGTGGGAGGGGAACTGTTGCACTGTTGTAAATTGTAGTCAATGTCATGAGACAAAGTGTATGTGAACTATTGTATGGAAAGTGAATTTGCTCCGTAAACTTTCACCCAATAAAATAAATAAATAAATAGATAACTTTCTGTTTGTTAAAGCCATCCGTCTGTGGTTATTTCTGTTATAGCAACACTAGAGAACTAAGACAACGGGAGCCAAGCATAAAATGAAGGCTCTGTGAGCAGATGCTGCTAACAGGTACCACTTCTAGTGTTGTCATCGATACACAGGTCTAACAGGCCACACTCAGGTGAACAGGCTCCTTCAAGAGCATCTTCTGATGTCCATGACTGGCTCCTGCTCACACAGTCTGAAGGGAATGGTTGTATACCCTAAGCTTGTCACCACGTATGAATAAAGTTCTGTTCTACAAAATACGTCTACAAGAAAGTGTGTCTCTGCTCCCCTACCTCTCAGCCTGTTACAAAGGCTGTGTCCTAGTCGTGGCCACACCCCTGGAATGAGGTGCCTGGGGGCCATCAATTCACTCCCACTCTGCCTCACAAATCCTCAAGTGGGTAGAAAGGTACTTACAGAGAAGAGAAGGGCTGCTAACTTGCCACCCAGAGAACCTGGGTCTCTGGTGTAAAGAAGACTCGAGCTCATTAAACTCACAAATCCTGAATTAACCCCTCAGGCTCTACAAGGCTCTCTCTGACTAGAGAGGTGTCCCTGGCGCTACCACAAACCATACATTTGTTATTGTTGTTGATTTGTACTGTAGGCATACAGTAAATACACCAGAGAAGCTTCCACCACCCATCTGTCAGTCTGTCCTACTACCGTGGCTTGGCTGTGGCCATGATGCTGGAGGCTAAGCCACCAGTATTTCAAACACAACACAGTCACCCATGGGGGACAGGTTTCAGCAGAGCTTCCAGACTAAGGCAGACTAGGAAGAAAGAAAATGAGCCAACCAAGCTGCCATCGATCGCAGCAGAATATTGTCCCCTGCAGTGCTGGGCGTCATCAGGAAAAGCCAATCGACAGAAGAGGAGGACATCATGTTTGGTAAAATGGAGGCCAGTGTGACCAAGGGGAAGCGGCCACAACGATGGACTCCAGCATAGCCATGAGGGTGAAAATGGTGCAGGACAGGCCACATTTCGCTGTTGTACACGGGGTCAGTATGGGGTGAGCAGACTAGACAACAGGGCAACATGGCATTTAGAGAGAGATGAGTGCAAATCGTTTTGTAAAACAAATAACTGCTAGATTTCCAATGACAGAATCTGGATTGTCACACGGTGAATTCATATAACACAGGGCATAGCTTTAAGTAAATTTGAAGAAAGGAGTTAAAACCAATTAAAATGCAATTTCTTATTTGATTGTCGAGTTAATGATAAACGTCCACTGATGGGGAGAGTGACCATCCCCTCTGCTGTTCAGGTGGGAGATGCTCCTGGCCCTCTCTGACTCGCAGCTTTACCTCTTGGTACAAAAATCCCCCTCCTCATTTTGGGGTGCCCGTTCTTAATCACTGAACGAGTAGCACATCACCCATAACTTGCTTCTCTGGGTCCATTCCATGCCATCAGTGCACGTTCCTTAATGGCTCCACTCAGCAACCCCCCCCCCCGACTCATGCAAAGGATACTGTCCAGAATCAGCTTCGTGAGAGCCTGGTAAGCAGACAGATCACACATCTCGGGAATTTGGTTGTAGGAAAAATCCACCCTCTGGAGAGAAACAGAATAGTATGCCACCCTTAAATGTCTGTTCATCTTTGTGCATCTTCACCACAACAAGGCGTCACGCGAGGAGTCTACTTCATTACTGAAGATACACTAAGTTCAACCATTCATCCCTCCCCAATTATTTTCTAGCGGGACCTTCATAGGTCCACTTTGAAATCACTAAGAAGGAGCCTGTCTCCTGTGGCTGTACCCACATCACCACCCTCACGGTACATCCCCATAGCTGGTATTTCAATGCCTGTGGTCCCTTGGTCCCTTTGCAGCATTTTTCAACCTTGTTGATTTTCCTCCAGGACTTACCTCAGTGGCCCCCTGCCCGCCCATATTTCCCCCCATTGCTCTCAGGGCCAGCAAATGGCATCCACTGGGACTCTTCTGTCCCTTTTCTTATCCATTTCTACTCTGACTTCACTACATTCCACCCTGCCACCCTAAATGCCAGAATTATCTTGTGGATTTCTCCCACGGGCCTTATCAACATTAGGGCCTTTCTCAAAACTGACTGCTGCACAGAAGCTTTTCTGCAATGTCAGTTCTCCCCAGTCGAAAACACGAGCCCCACTAAGAGCACAGCGATACAAAGTTAAATGACTTCACGTAATCACTCACCTACTAGCAAAAGACAGACAAAAATTATGCTTGTGGGAGAAGGAAAGAAAAATCCAAGTTTTGGCAAACATCTACACTGGTAAACTGGGCACAAGAAAATCATTTTCTGGGTAACTATCAAGCAATTAATTATATGATACACCAAAACCAAACCAAACCCACTGACACAGAGCTGATTCCAACTCATAGCAACTCCCATAGGGTTTCTGAGACTGTAAATCTTTACAGAAGCAAACTGCCTCATCTTTTTCCTGTGGAGCAGCTGGTGGGTTCGAACTACTGACCTTTCAGTTAGCAGCTGAATGCCTCACCACAGTGCCACCAGAGCTCCTTGCAATTATATAACAAGCACCATGCAAATCTTATCTTCTCCTATACTTCACAGCAGTGATTCTACCCTGCAAAACTTGATACAACTATTGTAGCGATGTCTTAAATACTAAATACTTTAAATATTAAAATCTTGGAATGCTAAATACTTTCAATTCCAACATAAAATCCAGAAATAACTTAAACAGCAAGGGCAGGAAAACGGTTAAGGCAACCACAACATAGCAAGAGACTACACAGTCCTTGAAGATAGAAGCGTGTGAACCATGTTGATACACAGAAATCTGCAAAAAAGAAAGAGTGTTAAGTAAAAAATAACCAGAACTCCACATTTTCTACATCTACAAACTGCAGATGAGTAAAAGGCAGCCTGGGACAGAAATCTGAAGCGAGCCTAGCATGATACAAAAGCAGTTCAGTGTTTACTTTGTTGTCCCATACAGTAAATGCCTAGGAGCAGAGGCGTAGTGCCTGGGGTGAGGTGATGAACTCTCTCATCCCCTCCTTTCCTTCCTTGGCTGCAGCACCCGTCTGCCCATGATGTCTAACTACCTCAGTCAGGGCCAACGTGGATTAACCAGTGAGAGCAGTAGGCACCGGCTTCATGGTGCCTTCTTACTAATCGTATTCATTATTATAATGTCCAAGTTGTGGTGCAATTATTCACAACAGACTAGTAAGTAAGCACAATGAAGCCGGTGCCTACCTTGCTGAAGGAGCTCCAGTGGTGCAATGGTTAAAGCACTCAGCTGCTAACCAGAAAAAAGCTCAGTGGTTTGCACCCACCAGCCACTCTGCAGGAGAAAGAAGAAGCAGTCGGGTTCTGTAAAGATGACAGCCTTGGAGACCCTGTGGGGCAGTTCCACTCTGCCCTCTAGGGGCACTATGAGTCACAATCAACTCCACAGCAGCGGATTTGGGTTTGGTTTTGGGTACCTTGCTTATTGGGTAATCCATCGGAACAGGGCCCAGCCAATTCTGTGTCCCCATGTACCTATGGCTTCAGCTTCAGTGAGATACCTCCAAGGGGTTGATCTTGCATGACTCTGCTCTCTGACCCCATTGACTCAGGTCAGCGTTCACTTCACATATTAAGGGTGAAAGCATTCTAAGAACTAGAGAAAGAGCACTAAGGGAAACTGCGCTCTCTCAGACGGCACCAGGATCATACACACGGAATGAAAATGAGGCAGAGCTCCTTGAGAGGGTGGGACATAGCACCTGGACATGACTCACTAGAAAGATGGGGCTTTGAGGTCACAGACAAGGGTTCAGTTCCAGCTCTGCTAACTACCAGCACAGGTTAAGTGGGTTACTTCACCTTCCCGTGCCTCAATGTTCTCATCTGTGAAAAGGGGCCATTGTGGGGCGTCACAGCTTATTGGGAGTATTAACTGAGGCAGTGAATGAAAACACCGCGAGGTGGCCATTGTTCCCTGCCCCTGCTCACAAGGCATTTACATGGAGCTGAGAACCCGACCAGGGGCAGCCTGGCACTTTGCAACCACTTCCCTCAAGCCGCTGATATGTTTGCTCTTCATTCTCCCAGAGCTCAGAACTTTAAAGAGGGGCATAGGGTTTGTATTCCTTTAGGTCTGTAGGGCCATATAAGTTGGGATCTCCTTGATGGCAATGCGTTTCTGGTTTTGTGGGGCTTTGGGAGGAGGGGGAGGCAGGGCCGTGAGTGGGACAAACTCCAAGAAGTTTTGCCCAGAGTGGGGCTCCGGCTGTGACCTCAACTGATCTCACAGGGCGTGGAGCAAGGGGAAGGAGCCCGGCGGCCCAATGGTTAAATGTTTGGCTGCAACTAAAAGTGCCAGAGACACTGTGGGAGAAAAGACCTGGGGGTATACTCCCATGAAGGGTACAGCCTGGGAAATCCTGTGGGGCAGTTCTACTCTGCCCTGTGAGGTTGCTATGGGTCGGAATCGACCGAAAAGCACCCAACAAGGACAAGGGCATGGGCACTGGAACAGCCGCGGGGAGGCAGAGCAGCTGCCCCAGCCCAGCTCCTCGTAAGTTCAGGACCACGCGGTCCCACGTCACATGCAGACCAGCACACAAAAACCTCACCGTGACAGGAGGTAAATTTCAAGGGGGAAGCACACCACTGACAACCCGGGCAGTGTCAGACAGCAGAAGAAAACGAAACAGGCACCCTGCTGGCAGCAGGGGAGGGGTCGGAGCCTTGATTCAGATAGACTCTGGTGTGTGTGCGAGACCCCGCCTAACACTGTGGATGCAAGTTAACTTGGTTTAGGAATAAAACCAATAAGGAACAGTGATGGCCAGAGCTTCCTTGTTAAATACTTGAGTCCAAGGGAAAAACACTAATCACGTAGTCTGCTAACGGTTCACAGGAGAACTATCTGGGGATCTGTCAAAAATGCCAAAGCCTGGACCTGCAGCGACCCGACCCTAGAGAACAGAGTGGAACTGCCCACAGGGTCTCCAAGGCTGTCAGTCTTTACAGAAGCAAGGTCCAAACCACACCCACTGCCAATGAGTCAATTCTGACTCATAGTGCCCCTAGAGGACAGAGTGGAACTGCCCCAGAAGGTTTCCAAGGCTGTCATCTTTACAGGAGCGGACTGCCCCATCCTTCTCCCATGGAGCAGCTGGTGGGTTCAAACCACTGACCTCTTGGTTAGTAGCAGCTGAGTACTTCAGCCACTGTGCCACCAGGGCTCTTTTTCAGGACGTAGCTCAGGCCAATTGAACCAGAATCTCTCGGGGAGAAGCAGGGAGGACCCAGGCAGCCATGCTTTTTGAAACTCCTCAGGGGGTTCCAGTGTGGAGAAACAGCCACTCTATCCCATGGGCTCTTGCACCCACGGCAATGGCATGACCTGGTGGCCTGCAAGGATCTCATCTCAGGCCCCACCCAGACCTACCGAATCCCAGTATCGTTTCACACAAGCCACAGGGCCCTGCTGCCCAGGAAGGCAGGAGGCAGCCTACTCCGTGGTGCAGTGAGCAGCTTGGTCAACCCCAGTCCTAGTTTCAGTCTGCTCAGAAAGGCAAGACCAGACGTGGGGAGGCAGGCATGAAGACCTGAGATCACATTTTCTCCTAAAAAAAGAGTAAAGTTTGGCTAACTAAGGAGGGCCTACTGTGAGCCCACAAGAGATTGGTATAGATTTTCCAGATCAGAAATCTGATTTGAAATGGTTCTACTCTAGTTAAAACATATGGAGGTCTGGTGACACAGTGGTTAAAGCATCCAGCCACTAGCCAAAAGGTCGGCAGCTCGAACCCACTGTGAGATGAGGCAGTCTGCTTCCACAAAGATGTACAGCCTGGGAAACCCCATGAGGCTATTCCACCATGTCCTGTAGGGTGGCTATGAGTCAGAAGAGCTGCTTGGCAGTGGGTTGAGGGTGAGCATGGAAGGACTGGTTCTTGGCTTAGAATACCAGGTCTTAGAAAACCTTCCTAAAAATCTTATTCGCTGACACACCACCCACTTCTCCAACATAAATGATCACAAGTCCATAAGTCACGCCAGATGCCCCCACCATCTCCATCTCATTCTTTGGGAATTCTCCATCAAGTGCTTCTTCCTGGCAAAAACTTAACATAAGCATGCGTGTGGTGAGAAAGCTACCTTGAGATTTTGGGGTGGCTTGAAGTGGAAGAACGTAGTCAGTTTATTCTGAGAAGCGTTCAGCTCTACCAGATACGGCATGTAACTCACACAAGACAAATCTGGGGGCAGAGAAGAGACAGGGAGGGCGGTGAGTCACGAGGATGCAAGGAGACGAAGTCATTACAAACAGCATGGATGGTGTCAGAGCGTCACTTAATCATGCCGGATGCGAGCATATTCCATTACTCCAGATGACTGAAATGAGTAAGAACCGGAGTGTGTGAAACACACACACACACACACACACACACACACGAAATATGGAAAACTCGCCAGGAGCCAAAAGCTGCACCTTCTTCTAAAGCCTTCCCCACCACTTTCCTACTGTGTCCTCCAGGTTGTCCAAGCACCGTATGGCAGAGGGCACCTCGGCGTCCCAACTCACTGCCCCCCAAGCTGCTGCTCACATCAAACGCTTCAAAAAGTGCCAGCCTCGGAGGAAAGGATGCGAGACTAAAGCCCTAGATAATCCTTCTGATAATGAGCTCCTAAGTAGCAGAATTAGGCTTCTCAGGAAGGCTGCAAATATCACCATTAGGGAGCTCTCTTTGTTGTGAGTTAAATTTTGTTTTAATTTGACTTAATCCTAAATCTCATTAATTATTTGAAGTGATTTAAATTGCTATTATTTTGCTTTGAGTCTGGATTGGTTCAAAACTACCTCTGAGTTTTGCATTTTATCCTGAGAAAATATCCTGAACCTTGAATACTAAGAGAAGGGCTATTGAGCTGATTAAGGCTGTTCGTAATGAAATTACATAATGAACGTAACAGTTGTGAAACATTACTCAGCCTCTGTCGGACCCTGGACAGCAGGCGTAGGTCTGGACACGGGCAGCAGCATAAATTATAAGGATCAGTAAGGGTTGGTTACGTGACCAGGGTTACAGCTGGCTATACCAGTAACTCACTTCCCCCTGCACATGGTACTAATCTCCCTCTGTCTTCTTGCCCTAGAGGAGAGAACCAACCACTACTGTCCCTCAGAAGATGGTTCCCATGGAAGAATGGAGCCTCCACTCTCTCACCAGGTGGCCAGGCATGGCTTGACCAGGGGAAGAAAGGAAGGCTGAACTTGGCCCACGGTGGGGTGGGGGGTGCAAGCATTGTGAACCTACATCCTTCCCGCAAGGGTCACTGAAGCCAGAACCCCCTCGCCCCCCAGTTCCTACTTCATTGTCCTGGACTAAACTATACCCTCTGCCTGATGCATGACGGCCCATGTGTGTCAGGGTGGAAGTCGGCTCCACAGGGTCCCTGCTGGCTGATGATCTGGAAGCAGGTTGCCAGGCCTGCCTTCCAAGGCACCTGTTTTCAGCTAGTAGTCAAGGGCTTTACCATTTTTACCTTCTGGGGCTCCTACACCCTTTAAAAAAAAAATATTCCAAACTCAGTGCTGTAGAGCCAATTCTGACTCATAGAAACCCCCCACTGGGTTTGCAAGGCTGTAAATCCTGTAGATGGCCCCATCTCCCTCCCCTGGCACAGCTGGTGGGTTTGAACCTCTGACCGTCTGCTTAGCAGCCCCCAGAGCTCTTTATGCCCTTTTTCAGTAGATGTCAATACAGCTGTCAAAACTTCTGGGAGGAGCCATACATTGAGTCATTAATATGTTGGTGTTAATGAGTGCCTGGGAGAAGGCTGCCTGAAAGGAAAGAAAGAAAAAGAAAAAGAAAATCCCACTGCCACAGAGTTGATTATGACTCATGGCAACCCTACAGGACAGAAGAGAACCGGTCCCACAGGATTTCGGCAAATCTCTAGGGAAGCAACTGCCTCATCTTTCACAGAGTTGCTGGTGGGTTCAAATTGCCGACATTTTGGTTAATAGCTCAATGCTTTAACCACCACGCCACCAGAGCTCCTCCATGAAAGGAAAGCTAAGGAGAAACTGAAATTGCTCTACTGACTTCATCCATCTGTGGACTCAGCTCAGCAGGAGCTGGCCTTTCCGTGGGCAGACAAGTACTATTCCACGGAGCTCTGTCTTGTAGGAACTAGTGCTTAGAGACAAAGAGATGAGGAGTGCGTTTCACGCGCTGTACATAGCCTTCGCTTTTGAATCATTGTGACAGCAAGAAAACCCATGCGCCACAATGCTGGGCTTCCAACGTAGCTGACCCCGGCGTTCCTAGCCAGTGTAGTGACCGCTGTGTCCACCAGATGGCAGCAGTTCCTCATGTCTGCAGCCAAAAAAAAAAAAAAACGCACTGGCATAGACTGGAATCCAACTCATAGGGACCCCTCCTTGGGTTTCCCAAAAGGTATCACTGCGGAAGTAGATTGCCAACCTTCCTTCCAAGGCGTTGCTGGTGGGTTTGGGGCAGTTGCTCTCAAAAGGAAACAGTCCCCTCACTGGAAACTTAACACAAAATGCGAGTTCTCAGAACCCCAGCCCCGACCTACTGACTCACGAGGCTACGAGGGTGGGACCCAGCCATCTGTGTTTTCACAGGCCCTCCAGGTGATTCTGACACAAGTCTGGTTCACATCAGAACACAGGCCACCATCCAAGAAGAGCACAGAGTACCTTACACACAGTGGCCTCCCAAACCCTGGAGGAACTAATGAAATGGGCCAACAGGCCATTTAAGAAGACTGGCGACTTCCTGCCAATTCTCCTTCCTCAGTTTTCTGGGACCACCAGCCGCCAGTTACCATGCACGGACTCTGATTCACAGCGACTCCAATGTGTCCAAATAGAACTGTGCCGGGTGGGGTTTTCAAAGGCTGGTTTTTCAGCTGCTGATCACCAGGCCTTTCTTCCAAGACACCTCTGGGGTGGACTCAAACCGGCTACCTTTTGGTCAGCAGCTGAGCGAGCCTGCACCTCCCAGGGGCTCCCGGGACTACGCATTGCTTTCAGCACTCAGCAGCTCCTGAGCCAGTCCATGAAACACCCTGTGCAAGGGGGAAGGGGAGAGAGACTTCCTACAGGTGACACCAGAAAAGAGAAGGACGAGACTACAGATGGACCGAGATCACCCACGGGCTGAAAACCCATGAAGCTGACTGACCGGCTCATAACACTGTTCTCTGTACCTGTGCACACGTTTACAAATTTCGGTAACAAAGTTTTATACAAGTAGAGAGAAAAAGAAAAGACTTTCAAAATTGGCAGTAGCATTTGAGGAATTAAAACATGCGAGAATATTTCCTTGTCACTGAAAAGAGCAGATGTTAATTACCGGAGCCAGGGGATAGAAAATAAAACAGAAAAGACCCCAACCAATAACATTTGTCAGTAAAAAAAGACAAGTGAACAACACAAAGAGAAAGACTACAGGTGAAGAAAGCAGGTCAGAAGTAATGGTTTGCTTCCTTTCCCAGAGGGCTAAAGAAAAAATTAGATGTGGTTAACTTCAAATAAGACCAGAAAATCAGGAGCAAAATCAAGCTTTCAGGAAAATGTGACAATTGTTGGACTATTGTCACTCAGTGAGAGCAGCTGTTGTAACAAACATACAAACTACAAATGGTAACAAAAGAACGGAAAGAATTAATGAGAGAGCGAGAGAGACAAAAAGCGAGAAAGAGAGAGAGACAAAAAGTGAGAGAGGGAGGGAGGGAGGGAGGGAGCACCAAGAAGGGGAGGCTCCTCCAGGAATCCCTGGTGCTCCCCAAGAACAGACGCAGCAGCTAGCCAGGACGAAGACGCACAAACAAACCCAAAACAACAACCACATCACTACAGGGGAAAGAAGGACTCTTTCATCTGCAGTAAATAAGTGATTTAAAAAATAAATAGTTGCCAGCCAGTGAATTGCAACTGACGAAGACCCGGTGAGAGCAGAGTAGAACCACACAGCCATCGGGTTTCCATGGCCGCAACCTTCAGAACCAATCACCAGGCCTTCCTCCCAAGGCACCTCTGGGTGGGTTTGAACAGCCAACCCTTCAGTTCGTGACCCAGCACTCAGCCACTCACACCACCCTGGGACTCCTTAAATAGTAATAGAAGTAAGGGAAACAGAAGGGAGTCATCAAACCGTCAGGAAGTACTGAAAAAACAACAGTCCATCTCTACAAAGGAGGAAAAAACTATTCCATCCGATGCTGTTAAGTATCACTGAGCACATCGTGTGATACTGCACACCTGCAAACGTGTGCCTGTCTCGTTACTCCTCAGTCATGGCCACCTTCTTCATGAAAAGCAGAGGAGTCGTATGTAAACTGACACACGTTATCACTGACATCAAGTTTTGCACATTACAACTCTGTTACATGCTGCAAAGTTTACGTCTTGAAGAAATTCTGTGATCCATCCATTGACTAGAAGCAACAATTACATACCTTCGATTTTATTTACGGAAAGGTCCAACTTCTGTAGGTGAACATATCCATGGAGAATGCTAACGTCAATTAAATCACAACCCTGAGAACACAAAAGGAGAGACTTTAGTCCGGCTTTAACAGGTTTCCCTCAACCCTCCTGCAACATCCAGAGATGAGCAGTTGGCAGAAAGAAGGCAGAATTTCACTGAAAGTACAGTAGACGCGCTAAGACACACTCTGAAGTCTACTACTAATAGGAACTCAAACCAGACCACAAACTCCAGCAAAAAGGCATTCGTCTGAAGAAATCATTGCTTAGAAAACAGGCGTGTTAACAAAAACCAAAGCAAATGGAGACACAGATTAAAGCCACGCTCATGAGGACTTCGAGGCAGAGCTGTGTGTGTGTGTGTGTGTGTGTGTGTGTGTGTGTGTGTCTGGATAGAAACATAGAGATATAGCATAGCAATATTGCTTTATCTAGTACAAGAAAAGGAAAAACAAATGGCTGGAATGTCAATGACGTTGTCGAGAGCGCCCGTGTAATCATGAGACCATTAATAACAGGACCACAGTGTTCATTTCCACGGCGTTCCTTCTCAAAGCTCTTTCACAACAATCTCATTTCATCAAACAACCCTGTGGGATCCACTATACTTTCAAGAGCTACTCAGCCTTTCCTTCTGTCAACTGTTCAGCAATTTAGAGATGAGGAATATGAGGAACAGAGAGGTACGGAAATGGCCTAAAATCACACAAGTTACCAATCAAGGAGCTCCAATTCAGAATCCACGTCTCCTGAGTCATTGTCCAAAGTCCTTTCCATGAAATCCTGCATCTTGTCCCCTTCAAGAGGGGCTGGAGGGGAATGTGGTCCCGTGAAGCAAAGGCTCATTCTACTGCCTACGCTGCAACACCAGAGTCGGAAAAGGCCAACCCACAGTGAGGCGTCACAACCAGATCCCAAGATAATAAATGCAACAACAGTGGCGGTGGTGGCGGTGACAGTTGCATCCAGTCAATTCCAGCTCATGGTGACCCTATGTGCACAGAGTAGCGCTACTCCAAAGGGTTTTCAAAGCATTCTTGAAAGCAGAATGCCAGGCCTGTCTTCCAAGGCACTCCCGGTGGTGTTTGAACCACCAACCTTTTGGTTGGTAGTTGAACGCTTAACCATGATAAGAATGTTTAATAAAGGCCCCTAGAACAGTCATAAACAGACACTAGGGACAAGGTGTGCCTGGCATGATAATGCAATACAGTGAGTCAGGAGATCTGTATTTCACCCTTAGGGGACTTACAGGTTGGGTAGGACAGAGGCTATGTACACAAATGAAAAGAGAAAGTAAAAACATAAATGTGTAACATAAGACATAAGGAGAATAAAACACCTCCAAAAAGGTAAGCCTGAGAGCAGGTGCTCAGCTGACCGGCCGCCAAGGCAGAGGAACGCCCCGCGTAGTATCTCAGATGGAGGGGCGTCAGTGGCGAGATCAACTGAGCTTGGCCCTTCCAGCTGAAACACGATTTAAAGGATTGCTTTTTCTGTAGGTCAACTGAAGGCATGGCACTGTGTGTTCCTAAGTGGAATACTGACTGAGGGACTGTGTGGGGTGTGCCGGCTGCTGGATTTTATGCCACCCCAATGCCTACCCAGTGCAGTGCACACGGGAAGCTCCCTGCATGGCACAGCTCACCGAGCTGAGTCATCCATAAATGCTACAAGGTGGAAATAGTGAAAGACGAGAGAGCCTTCTGACATGGTCCTCAGAGGACAAGCCTGGAACCAGTGTGGGTGAAAAGAGCTTAGGAATTCCTGGGGAGTTTGCTAATTCAGACCCAAGTCAGAACAGCCTGGCAGGGATTTTTACTCCATGGGTGGAAAAAATGGCTAAATGCTTGACGACCAGCTGAAAGGCCGGTAGTTCAGACCCCACTGGAAGTGGCTCTGAAGACAGGCCTGGCATTTGGGTCTGAAAGGTCATGGCCTTGGGAACCCCCCAGAGCAGTTCTGCTCTGCACACTCAGGACACCATGAGCCAGAATCGACTGGACCACAACTCACGGTAATGGCCAAGTTATGGAGCAGAGCGACATCGTGAGTGCTTTTCACCTACATGTCTGCGTGTACCCTGTGCATCTCTGAGTCACACTTAACTCTTTACACTAAAAGGGAACACAGAGAGGTCAACTATTCTCCTAGGACCACAGAGAAGTACAATGAGGGAAGTGGGTCAGGTGAGGACAGAGCACACTGCCCTTACAGCTTCTCTTAGGATCAAAGTTGGAGGCCTGACTCGGTCTTGCTCTCTGATGAGTATTGGAATCTTGAAAACTGGTGAATAGCATTTGATTATTTTTTATGACTAAGAGGAATCGTTTGGAAAATGCGAGGTAGCTCCCAGGCACTAATTTCTCGATCTACTTATGGGGGAAAAAAATCAATACCAAGATACTTTGTTCCTTTGTTTTCAGGTGTAACTTTTAGTCCTTCTTGCTCTGATTAGAGACAAAATTCTGAAATTTTTACAGAGTCACATTCAACCTTCTGAAAAGAAAGAATTGATTACTATAATATAGACTACGTAAGATGAAAGAGGAAGAGTATGAAAGGAAGCAAAACCAAGGAATTAAAAGCAAGGAATCTGGGGCCAATCACTGGATTGTCCAGAATTCTTTGAAGTTCACCATTTTACATAAATAACTCTTATCACCCGTTTCAGTCAAATGCAGAGCTGAGATTGGGGGCATCACAGAAGCTATGAGCACCAAAGAAAATGGATATGGTCCAGCGGTATCAGGATGTTGGCAGCCCCGTGGCCATTCTGTCACACTCACTGACAAGCTTAGATTGAGGTAGACCTGCTCAGTCCCACAGCCGGAGCGCCCCAATTTGTACAGTGCCTCAGCCACCACCTCCTCTCTCAGGACCCCATCAAATTCCTCCTGCAAAAAAAAAAAAAAAAAAAGGAGAAAAGGAGGGGAACAAGCAAAGTGGGATTAAAAGAACCATGGAAAGGAAATAAAAAAAAAAAAATGGAGAAAGAAAGGAATTCCATTAGAGAAGAAGGAAGTCACCCAGTCCAATCCAACACTTCTTCAGAATATCACACACCCAGTAGCTGAACCTTTCTGGCAACTAACACCAACAAAACTTACTGGCCCCAATGACAATTCTACCTTGAGGACACATATGTACTATGCATAATGAAATAGATATCTACATGTTTTTACTGACATTGAATTTCGAGGTAGTCACCTGCATTGGGTACTCAAAGTCAAGTGAACACAGTGGAAGGAGAATCAATGGGATTGGTGGTAATTGCCACCCATTGGTTACTGCTGCTTCATTCTAGGCACAGAAGCACTCAAGAGATGGACTCATTTAATCCCACAACCTTCAGGTAAGGACCATTATCCTCATGTTACAGATGGAAAAAACTATGGCTTAGTGAGGTTAACTTGCTTGGAACCACATAGCCTGATGTGTAACAGCCGGAGCATCAGTCTGAATCTGACACCACGGCAGCTCTCCTAACTCGACTGCCTGCCCACACCTCAAAAGATGATTACATCAAATTAAGGCAAATGCAGAAATTATTAAACAATACCACTAATATCACACGCAAGTAAAATTTTGCTGAAAATAATTAAAAAATAGTTGCAGCAGTACATCACTAGGGAACTTCCGAAACCCAAGCCAGATCCAGAAGAGGACACAGATCAAGGGACATCATTGCTGATGTCAGATGGATCCTGGCTGACAGCAGAAAATATTAGAAAGATGTTTACCTGTGTTTTATTGACTATACAAAGGCATTCTACTGTGTGGATCATAATATATTATGGATAACATTATGGAAAATGGGAATTCCAGAACACTTAATTGTGTTCATGGGAAACCTGAATATAGACCAAGAGGCAGTCATTCAAACAAAACAAGAGACAGTGCTTGGTTTAAAATCAGGAAAGGTATGTATGTGTCAGAGTTGTATCCTTTTACCATATGTATTCAATCTGTATGTTAAGCAAATAATCTGAGAAGCTAGACTAGATGAAGAAGAATGTGGCATCAGGATTATCAGGATTAACAGCCTGCAATATGCAGATGACACAACCCTGCTTGCTGAAAATGAAGAAGAGCTGAAGCACTTACTGATGAAGGTCAAAGACTACTGCCTTCAGTATGGATTACACCTCAGGATAAAGAAAACAAAAATCCTCACAACTAAATCAATAAGCAACATCACGATAAACGGAGAACAGATTGAAATTGTCAAGGATTCCACTTTACTTGGATCCACAATCAACCCCATGGAAGCAGCAGTCAGGAAATCAGACATCATATTGCATTGCACAAAACCTCTGCAAAAGACCTTTATAAAGTGCTGAAGAGCAAAGATGTCACTCTGAAAACTAAGGTGAGCCTGACCCAAGCCGTGGTATTTTCAATTGCCTCATCTGGTAGTGTAGTGCCTAAGGCACTTGACTGCTAACCCGAAGGCCAGAGGTTCAAACCCATCAGCCACTCCTTGGAAGGAAGGTTGGGCAATCTACTTCCATAGGGATACCACCTCGGAAACCCAAGGAGGGGTCGCTATGAGTTGGGTCCGACTCAAGGGCACATAACAACAACAATATCTGCATACGAGAGCTGGACAATGAATTAGGAAGACCAAAGAAGAATTGATACATTTGAATTGTGGTGCTGGAAAAGAATATTGAAAATACCATGGACTGCCAGAAGAACCAACAAATCTTCCCTGGAAGAAGTGCAGCCGGAATGCTCCTTGGAAGCAACAATGGCCAGACTTCGTCTCATCTACTTTAGTCCTGTTATCAGAAGGGACCATTCCCTGGAGAAGGATGTCATGCTTGGTAAAGTAGAGGGTCAGCAAAAAAGGGGAAGACCTTCAATGAGATGGATTGACACTGTGGATGCGATGATGGGCTCAAGCATGGTAATGATTATGAGGATGGCAGAGGATGGGTGGTGTTTGTGCTGTTGTACGTGGGGTCACTATGAGTCGGAGCTGACTCAGTGGTACCTAACAACACAATTCTGGTATTCTAAGTGGCAAAAACAGATCCTCAGTTCCCTTCCTTTTGGCTAATTTGATTGAATTCATGTAATTTATAAGATTTGTTAAAAGGGTGATCATTGTTTCTGTAAGAGAATGGCCCTATGTCTATAGGGGTCCATGGCAGTCCATTGACCAGTGGACATGCCCTTTCCCCAAGAATGACAGATAGAAGACATGACATGTGTGTTCATGCTACATCTGTGCTGCCTCCAACTCCCAAGTGACCACCACATTAACAGTGACATCAACATGAGGATTCAGAATGGAGCCACTCCATCAGTCACTACAGAATAACCAAACATGACTCACACATGGACTACGATGGTGAAAAAACCATTCTGCAGGTCTTTGTATTAATTCAGGAACTAACAGTGCTGCTCTGGCTCTTGGTGCTAAGGGCTTAAGCATGTACAGCTGTGCTACTGTTGGGGTGTTCTTTCCACAGAAACGGGCACTAACCCAGGGCTGCAACACTGCTTAGAGGAAGCACTTGGGCTGTGGAGCTGGGCAGGCCTGATCTGAGTCCCAGCTCTGTCATTTTGGTTGTGTGGCTTTTGGGGAGTAAATTTCCTCTGAACCCTGGAATGTTATTACCTCTTTCAGGGATCTGGGGGAGGTGGAAGACAATAATGTATGGAAAGCTCTTAGCACAGGGCCTGGAACATGCACAGGGAGTATCCGCCATAAATGACAGTGTGACCACTACTTAAAGTCAGAAATCCCACAATTCAGTGTGCTGTCATCCATTCCAATCAACCTGTCTCATTCACAAAATGGGAGAACGATACGTGTTATTCTAAAAGGAGTTACAGTTCCTCACACAAAGCCTAGGAGGAAACAGAGTGGAGGAGTGTTACCTTCTCTCCAGAACCTTCCCACCTGGACCTCTGAAGTTCACCTCCTGTTCTATCAATGAGCCAAAGATGGACTGTGTCTTGGCCTCGGGTTGTATTTCTTCATAGCAAACTAAGGCCTGTTAGTCCAAAAAAGCCTGCTAGCATTAAGCTCAAATTCTATGTATCCAATTAAAAAAAACCTCTATCTATCTATATCTATCTATGGCCCAAATAAGCAGAATTTCTTGCCAGCTAGAGCCTCCCTGCTTTACATACCCCACAACACTGCTCCCAACATCTGCTAGTCTTAGGTGAATGGTTACAGGGTCCCAAGAGGCTAGTGCCCTTGGAGCTCTGAACTGACTTCCCACCTTGCTGCAGAAGGACATCACCATGGCCCAGGCCGGCTCCCACTCCTCTCTGCTCCTCTCTGGTGGCTCCCCGCGGCACTTGCCCCTTGGAGACCACCTGCTATGGGGGACCACTACCTGAATTCCACTGTCAACGCCCCAATGAACAGCTTATTGTACAACATTGCTAGCTTGTGGTCATGTCTTTTCCTTTGATCAACCCCAAACTCCCTCAAACTCACTACGCCTCCTGCTTTCTACCTGGAAACGTAAAGACGTTGCATTGTTACTTATAGTGGGTGGGTGCCTGTTCTTTCACATAGTCATGGCTAAGGAGATGGCCCTAAGGTCAGCATGTTCCCAGATCCCCAAGGCCAAACTCCCCACAGCAAACACATCACACCCTTCTAGAGGGTCCAGCCACATGCCCTTTGTCCTTCGGGTCTCTGGTCATCGTCAAGCCTCCACAAGTCTGCCTTTATCTTGGTGTCTTCAGAATCTGAATGGGTCACCATTCAACTCCCTCACTCCTAGTGCTTGCAAATACACACACCTCTACTTCCTCAACTCCAGACACCTTAAACTTATGCCCACCCAACTTTAGCTGCCCACTGTCTTGGCCACACCCTAGACCTAGTCATCACACTAAACTGTACCAAGAAAGCTCAGACCCCAGGAATCTACTCTCTGATCTCACAACTCCTGTCCTTCAGGCTTGCCAGCTCTTACTGAACTTGTCTTTTGGCCACATCAGAATTCCACTGAGTCACAGAGGAAGAGGGACAGTCAGGAACAGGAGGAGGAAATGGAATATGTGGCTAATTGCTTCCATGAACAACTGTGTCCCTCACCATGAGACCATAATTGGATGGTACCCAGCTACCATTCCTGAATTTTTGATCAAATATTCTATAAAAGAATCCTGATCAAAAAGGAGAAAAATGCAGACTAGGATTTCAAATGCTCATGGAATCCAGATTTTCTGGAGCCATAGAGGCTATATTAACCACCAAAATTATTACCCTAAGAAATCTTTTAAATGTTAAACTTTCAACTAAAAATATTTGCTGAAGTCTTCTTTAAACCAAACAAGAATATAGCTTCATTAATAACAAATGTCTGCCTTGAGTACTGTGCTCTTTGACAGAACTGTCTATAAAACTCCAAACACACACAACGCCATGGAGTCGATCCCGACTCATAGCAACCCGTCCTTGGGGTTCTGAGGCAGTACTTCTACAGAAGTAGATTGCCCAACCTTCCTTCAGAGGAGTGGCTGGTGGGTTTGAACCACCAGCCTTCTGGTTAGCAGTCAAATGCCATAGGCAATGTGCCACCAGGGCTTCCCAACGGCAACATGACAAGTTAGATAAGAAGCTTAAGTGGGCAGTGAGTTTATATCAAAGGGAGTGGAGCAATGTGGAAAAGGAGGTGGGAATGGTTGCACACCTTGAAGGAGGTCATCAATGTGCCTGAATTGTACATGCAGACATTGTTGAATTGGTGTATGTTCTGCTGTGTATATCTTCTTTCTTTCTTAACAAACAGCAGTTTATTCTCTTACAGTTCAGGAGGCTAGAAGTACGAGTTCAAAGTGTGCCAGGCTCTAGGGGCTGAGTGAAAGCCCCTTGGCCTTGGGCTTCAGCTCTGCCTCTTGCTCCCAGCCTACTGAAGCT